GTAATTACTGTGTATTTTATCTGATCTTTTTTTTTTACTAATAGACTTTTTCAAATCGGAGAACATTCTCAAAGTGGTCTCATGCATAATTTATGGCATCCCCTTCAGAGGTACCTCAAGGAATCAGCCCTGCACTTGGCTGCCTCGAAGCTGGTTATCAGTACTTTTAGTTATGTTGATGTGGTATTCATTCAGCTTTGAAATGTACTACATGAAGACTTGCTGGATGAGTTCTTCGAGACCACATATTATTCCTATAGAAACAGTCTTGCTTCTTATAGTACTTGCAATTTCTGGTACAACAACCCACACTTTAATGGTGTGGTACTTCTATAGCAATGATTTCCAGAATTCGCACACAAGACTAGTGCCGCACTTTGATTTCATGCCTGAGGGACATCAGGAAGATATTGGGCCAACAAGAAATGACTGGAAGTATGCCAATATCTTTTTTCTCTTTGGAGTCATCATAGTCATCCTGGTTTTGTACTGTGAATTTGAATTCCATATATTTTTTGACTTTGTTGGCATTCATGACTTTTTAGCCCATATTGATCAATGGAAGAAAACATTGTACCACATTAATGTTCCATTTGGTTGCTTGGGATACACCAGTGCTGTTGTCGCCTGCTGTATTTTTTTCATCTGTTGCAGAGATATTGTACAACACATAGAATTTACAGAGACTCTCATAATAACAAAAGCAAAAAAGTACCTAACTGCTAGACACTACCATGAATGTCTGCTGAGATATACAGATGATGTAATGAATACAACTAAACTGTGGTTCGTGGTCCATAGTTTGTCTTTCATGTTTATTGTGCTGAATGATGTGGTTGCGTGGACCAAAACCTTCTCTCACATAAATAACCAGGTCAACATTATCCACATTGTTATTGCACAGGTTGCAGGTTTTTTTCTCATTGCCTTCAAGTTTGCATTCCCCTTCCTGGCTGCCAGTCGTGTGACAGCTAGGTATGACAAGATGTATCGCAGGATAAACAGACWTTGGCGGCCAGATGTATTGTCTGAGGCTGATCCATTTATGGATTACGCTATTCGATGTGAGGCAGGTTTTACCTTGTTYGGAATAAAGTTAACAGCTGAATTGGCTCTGATTTCACTGCTGTCGTGTTTTGTTGGAATTTTCAAATTATATAACAAACTTTTTTAAATCTTAATTTTTTTTAACACCAAAAATAATTTACAATCATTGTTAACAGTTGCAGAATTTGGCTTAACCATTGCTACTTCATTAACAAGCTCCATGCATTTTGATTCTATCCACAGCTATAATAATGCAGATATAAAAATATGTGATAAATAAGCTAATATATGCAATTATTTTTATCTTATATGATACAGCTGTACCTGTATGTTTAAAAATAAATTATGTACAATAACTTAAAAAGTTAATGTCATTTCTTTATCTTGGGCTTTGTTCAGAGCTGTTTAACTTTGGAAGTTTTCTTACAGCAGCTGTCTTTTTAACTGGACCTTTTTTGGGGTCCAGAATCCTTTGGTTGTCTGGTAATCCAAATATACTACTTCCCCTGAAAGAAAAAATGAAACATTTTAGTAAAAAATAAGAACAACTTAAAGTATTCAATTGATGGATGATGATGATGATGGTGACGATGACGATGGTGACAATGAGGATTGTGATGGTGATGATGAGGATTGTGATGGTGATGATGATGATGGTGACAAATGGTGATGGTGATGATAATGATGATGGTGATGATGACGATGATGATAATGGTGGTGATGGTGATGATGATGATGGGATGATGATTTTAGTGATAGTGATGGTGATGGTGATGACAAGGATGGATAATGATGTTACTGATGACAGTGATGACAGTGATGATAATGCCATAAGTACTGATGATTAATTGATAGTCAAGGTTAAGGTCATACCCACAAGATTTTATGGGGCTCTCTCTGATTGGTCAATTTTGAAGAAAGGAATGTTGTTCAAGTTTGAGCAGATGCTACTGGGGGAATGACAGGAACCGGAAGCGCCTCACAGCGGCTGCAAAGGAGGCTAGTGTTAATATGTACTAAAAAATATTCTGAGCATTTGCTGGTATTTTCTACTTTTCTTCGTGGATTGATACGAGTTTTAGAACAATTTTCGGTGAATTTGCGTTGATTTGACCCACTCCGACAACCATGATCCTTTCTGTTTTGATGTGACGTCATAGTGAAATAGGCTCATTGATAGTTAAAATACTTGAGGAAAGCAAGGACCAAAAAATCCTTATATTTTGAATTAAAAGGTTATACTTTAAATTTTTTCCTGTTACCTGATTAAGCTCAGTAATGTATTGTTTCCTCTCTTCATTGATTTTATGATATGCCTGTAAAAATGAAGAATACAAAATGAACTATAAAATTTAAAGTGCTCACTATGACAAAAATCGCTCAAACTTGGATTCAGCTGAAACTTCCTAAGAATACTCTTTAAAGGTCCANCTTTTAGCTTTTGTATTATCAATTACAGCATTAGCCTGTGATAATAATTATAAATAACTATTAAAGTGAAGGCATTTAACCTGTGAAACAATCAACACTAGTCAACGTGTGATTATAGTCAAACAGACACAAAGAAGACAATGGAATTAGAGTCTAAGTCTAATATCTATTTCACAGGTTTAATGACTTCTAATAAGGATTCAAAATACTAAATACTAAGTGGAATTGATAGATAAATTACTTGAGGAAAGCAGGGACCAAAAGAATCCTTATATTTTGAATTAACCTTTTTACTTTAGATTTTTTCCTGTTACCTGATTAAGCTCAGTAATGTATTGTTTCCTCTCTTCATTGATTTTATGATATGCCTGTAAAAATGAAGAATACAAAATGATGAACTATAAAATTCAGGATATTAGATTTGAAAATTATTGAAGCCTTAGATATATATTATATAATGATAGTACTATGTAGATTCATTGTTGTAACTGGAATGGGAAATTGAAATGTTTTGGCTTATTTTGCTGGCCAATGGGATAGGGTAATAGGTTTGTGAGAGCCTTGTAGTTGCTCTCATTTGCTTAATTGTCAAACCAGTAAAAAAAACAAAAAAAAAGCTTATGTATATGTTTTTTTGGTGCTGACATAAAAATATTATATTGAGAATAAAATATATTACGAGACATAAACATGTTCATGACCAACCTTTGATTCATTGTCCAGTCTCCATTCTAAATCTCTCAACTGTCCTTCTAAGGTTAACTTGTCTCTTTCCATTTGTCTCATCAGTTTTCTTATTTCAGTCTTTAAAGGAAACATTTAAACCCATTTATAGCACGTTTTATACCTCAAATCAAGGGTGGCATTAGTGGTAGTGCACACACTTCTCAAAAAGGGTCTATGGTTTAATTCCTGCACTATATGGGCATCACATGTGAGGAGAGTTTGTTGGATCTTTCCCTTGATTCAAGGGTTTTTCACTGGATTCTCTAGTTTTCATTTCTATGCAAGACCAGTGTCAAGCTAAATAATCCAAATACAAGAGAAGAAAGCAAGCTCCTCTTCCGTCCTTCTTCCTCTGTTAGGTGAAGTGGGCTCCAGGGTGTATGAGGGTATTGTAGGTTGAAGATATTCCTTTAAACTTACATCACTAAGTCCATTGTATGTCTTAAGCTTATTTCCTGGTTTACCTAAAAATCAAAAATATATGTACCTTGTTCACTGCATTCATTATGTTTGTTAGATGTAAAATGCATTTAGAGGCGAAATACTAGTTCCTTTCACAGTTTCCTGCATCATCTTGAAAGGTAGCTGTGCCTTTGCATCGAAGCAAGACAAACGGTGAGCTTGCAATGATAGAGACATGTGAATAATTGTTCAGGGTGTTAAAGAAAGGCATCTATCATTGCAAGTCCATCATTCGTCTCGCTTTGATACAAAGGCACAACTACTACTTTCAAGATGGTGCAGGGAACTGTGAAGGGGACTATTCAGGGGAGGTCTGAAAATTATGTGTAATGTCAATGGTTGCATCCCTTGGCAGGCTGGTGGGTGGGGGGAGGGTCGGTGGACATAAAGGGGGACCACAAATTTAGGAGTATTAAAAAGTATGTGCCCCTCTCTGAATTACACAATGATGCAGCCTTACAACCTTTCTTAAACAGTATATCAGACTCACCATCTCTTGAAGGAATTTTCATTTGTTCTAGTTTGTCTCTGAGAAGAAGGATTTGTTTTTCAAGTTGGTTGTTCATTTGTTGTTGAGTTTCGAATCGTGTTTTCCATTCGTTGTCTAAAATACAGGAAAAAATAAATAATTCAGGCATCAATTTTTCGAAATAATAGTCTAAAATTCCCTTATTAGAGGCGTATGTAGCTCAGTTATAATAGGTACATATTAACTTCATCCAACATCAAAAGATCAAAATAAAATCTTCGTAATTCTCTACCTTCTTCGCCAGCTGTTTCAGACTTTTCCTGCATTTCTCCAATAGTTTTCTCGAGATCTTCCGAAGATTCTTCCAACATGTCTCTAAAGTAACGTTTTATAAACATAATACTTAGATCTGAGCTCCAAAAGAAAGAGAATTTGATCGTTTTTAGCGTATTTTGCTTCGCGTGATCTTCATGGAATACGGCAGACGGTTGTTGAAAGAATTTATGTTTATGTTGAAGAAGGATCATCTCAGGTCTCTCAAAGCTTGATAATTTGATTATAACGCTTTTATTCATATTTCCGTAGAAGAAAATAATGATCCAGAAGTATATACAATAGTTATCAATTGAGCAATTCATAACAATCAAAGCAATATTTCTTGATTCTTAACTTACTTCATTTGTTTTTCTTGTTGGATTTCTGCCTTTAGTCTCTCTATTTCATAATCTAATTCCGTCTTTGGTGCTTGCTGTTGCCTTAGGACCCTCGGGGAAACTTCAGAAGCCATTTTTGAAGGTTTTACAACAGGTTGAGGCTTTACTTTTGAAGCTCTTCTTGTTTCTTTAAGCTCTTTTTTAACAGTAGAAGTTTGAGTATAAAATTTTGTAATATCTGTCGAGCCGAGTCTGTGACCACGCATGACTTGAATCTATAGCAACCGCGGTAAACAAAACAAATGGCGCCTTTTTGCAATCTTTAAAGAAAATATGTTCTTGGAATTCAAAAAAATGTTATAAATAAAATAATCAAATTTAGAATAATGTTTTAGAACGTTTTTAATATCATTTATGATGTCATACAAGCGCGCGACAAAATGTTTAACGTCATAATCATCTTTGATTAGAGATAATTTTGATCAAATTCGTTCGTAAATCAAGTTCCACCTCTCAATAATTTTTGAAAAATATGAAACTGTGAAGTTGGTTTAAAGCAAAAAAATCCAAAAAGTAGCCGAAAGTGGAGTATGTATTCATTAGAAGTTGGTGGAAAAAAAGTAATTATCGAAGACAAATTTGGAGAGTGTAAGTTCTCTAAAGCATTGATCTGATATGACCGAAGTCGCAGATAAGTCCTGCACACCCACTCAGAAAGGAACAGCTACTGAGCCACATTTAACGCATCATTCACTGGTAGGAGTAAGCACACTGTTGGAGAGATACGGTTACCAGATTGGAGAAGTATTAGGAAAGGGTTCTTACGCTGTAGTAAGAAAAGCGCACTCGAAAAGATACAAAAAAGACATCGCAATCAAGATCATTTGCAAGAAGAAAGCTCCCGAAGACTTCCTAACAAAGTTCCTACCGCGAGAAATCAAAGTTCTAAAGAAAATACAGCATCGCAATGTTTTAAGTCTTTTAGAAGTTATCGAGACGAATACTAGGATGTATATTATTACAGAACTAGCAGCAAATGGGGATCTACTTGAGCACATCCGATCTAATGGCGCCATAGCAGAAACTAGAGGCAAGGAACTTTTTCGACAACTTGTCGAAGGAGTGTCTTACATCCACAGTAAAGAAATCGTTCATAGGGATCTTAAATGCGAGAATATACTACTTGATAAGGATCATAATCTTATCATATCAGATTTTGGATTCGCGAAAGAAAATTTACCCACGGCTACGGGAAAAAAGAAACTCAGCCATACATACTGTGGGTCATATGCTTATGCACCTCCAGAGATATTAAAAGGTAAGTGAGCTAAGTATTACATTATCAGCTATAAAATATAAGTGAAAGAGCTTGAGTTACAAATAAACTCGAGTTCCAGAAAGTCATTGAAATAGGTTAGCCTGGAAGTTTGTCTTTGAACGAGAGTTGCGCATTTCGTAACATCCTTTCAACAGTATTTTTCGGCCATTTTTTCTTAAGCATTGCTTATGTACGATGCTACCTTATCAGATGTATTGAGTCCATGGACAACACTGAAGCAAAGGATGTCTTTTGAACATGAGTTGCGCATTTTGTAACTTTCATTAAAGAAAACATTTTTTTCGTTCAACCATTTTTTCTTAGGCGTTGCTCACGATGCTACCTTAATAAGGAGATGCATTGAATACATAGACGACACTTGCGCAACGCTGTCTCAACATGAGTTGCGCAATTTGAAAAATCTTCCTCAGTCTAAGAAAATTATTCAGTTTCCAAATATTTTTTCTTAGGCGTTGCTCACGATGCTACCTTAATTAGGAGATGCATTGAATACATAGACAACACTTGCACAAAAGCTGTCTCTGAACATGAATTGCGCATTTTGGAAAAATCATCCTCAGTCTAAGAAAATTATTTTTCCAAATTTTTTTTTTAAATTAGGCATTGCTTACGATGCTACCTTAGCAGATGTATGGAGCATGGGAGTAATTCTTTACACTATACTGTGTGGAAGACTACCATTCGATGACTCTAACCTTCGCAGTCTACTCCAGCAAGTCCACAAGAGAGTTGTATACCCTTCAAGAGTGAAACTAACCGATCCAGCCAAAGCAGTGATTCATAAAATGCTAACATGGAACATACCAGAAAGGATTACACTCGAACAGCTAGTGAACGAGCCGTGGGTGAAAGACGATCATACAGAGAGTTAAAAATACATCCTTGTTAAACACAGGTGGTGTAAAACCCATCTTGTTTAATCTTAAAATTGCTATGTAGGCGGTTATATATTGAATTATTCATTAACGTTGCTTCATCTACTCGATATCGTAATACATGGTCGAGGAGGTTGGTCAGTCGTATTTTATTTTACGCAAAAATTATTAACTTCAGTGTTTCTTAATTTTAAAAATAAAAACCTTATCTTACTTGGACATTTATTGCATGTTTGAGCTCGCAAATATAAATATCCAAGTAGCTTTTTTACTAGCTGCACTAAACTCCATTTGAAACTGACTGCAAGTATACGACCACAAGCGCCTGCAGAGCTGTCTTGTTAGATTGGAGGCTTTATGTCTTTACAAGTTACAGTGAAGACACTCCAACCATGAACACTTGACTTTATTCAGATTTTTATTTTCTGCTGAGCTTTTTACTGCTTCAAACCCTCTAAAAAAGTAGGATTGAACTCAAATATGCTATGTGATCAAAAGAYAACTTATTTCTAAATGAGGCACTCTAGGGATGAATGTTAAAAAAGTAGTAAAAAAGCACAAAGTGTTCATGGTTAGAGTGTCCTCACTGTAAGTCACAATGTATGTTCCAGTTAAGTTTTGAACAAGTTTTTTAGTCAAATTACAAACACGTCCTAACCACAGGGACTAATCCATCCCTTGCATTTTTAAGTTACAGAGACATAACCAGGATTTCTCTATGAGGGGGATTGTTCCTTTTTAACCCGGCTCGACAAATCTTCCTTCCCTTCCTCCACCAAAACACATGCAAATGATCTGCTAAGGGGCAGAAGGGAAACACAGGCACCCCAGTACCCGTGGTTTATATCACCTAAAGTTTATTTTGGCTTTTGTCAGGAATAGATTGTTGCTGTGAATCATCTACTGAGGTATTTTCTTTCTTTTCCTCAAACTGCGCAGCAACTTGATTTCCACTTTCCTTACTCGTAGAATTATCTTTGTCACTAGCATTGTTTGTGTCCGAAATTTGTTCCCTAGTTTCCTCCTTTGTTGGAGTGTTTTGGTTTGTGTTTATGTCCTTTCGTTCATCGCAACTTCCTTCATTTCCTAATTCACCATTCTTCATTTCTCGTCCTTCCTCCATCCTATCATTTTCTTCCTCGTTAGAGGAACTCATAGCTTTACCATCTTCATTTGTACTCGATGCGGTTTTTCCCTCATGATTTTCAATTTCGTGAACCTCGCCATCTGATAAAGGTTTTTGATTCTTTTCTACGTCTTCGTCGTCGTCAGTCTTTATTTTCCCTACACTTTTAACACCGTTTACTCCTCCACTTTCCCTCTCTTCCGAATGTCCATCCATATTTTCATTCTCGCTGTCTCTTTCATCAGAGTTTCCAATCATATTTTCATTGTCATCACATTTCTCCTCAATGTTTCCATTCATATTTTCATTCTCATCCCTTTCGTCAGAGTTTCCATTCATATTTTCATTATCATCCCTTTCGTCGGAGTTTCCATTCACAGTTTCATTTCCATTACTATCATAAATGGAGTAAACCGGAACAAGCCTCGAAAAGACCTGCAAGCGATGATTCTTGGTATCGGCAACGACAATGTTACTATTTTTATCAACCGCTACATCATATGGTGTATTGAACGAACCAGGATCATCGCCAACGGTGCCAAAGCTACCAAGGTATTCTCCTTCAATAGTCACTATTTGAATGCGATGGTTCTGGCTATCAGCCACAAGGATATTCTCTTGATGATCTAAAGCAATCCCTCGAGGGTATGCGAACTTACAAACACCGATTCCTTTGCTGCCAATTGTCTTTGCTTCAAGATTCCTTTCACGGAAAAACACTCGTAAATGATGCTTCATGTAGTCAGAAACTATGACGTCACCATGCTTTGTAACGGCAATTCCTATTGGATAATTGATTTCTTCTGGTCCACCAATAAAATGAAGGAAATTGCCTTCAAAGTTGAATTTTTGGATTCTGTGGTTGGCTTTGTCGCCAGTGTAGATGCAGCAGCTGTTGTCGAATGCTATGGAACACAGCTCTGGTCTGCGGTCATTCTTGCTGTAAACTGGTAAGATAGGGCGAAGAAACTCTCCTAGGAAAAAATTATTTTTAATGTTAACACGCTAGAATGGTATGAAGCATAATAAAGAGAAAAATACATGTAATTCTTAGTTGATGTATCGCATGTAACTGCTGCTGCCTTTGATTGGTTGAGAGAGGAACCCCTTTAAATGCCACGCGCCGTCTGATTGGATAAATCATGTTTTCGTGTTCGATTTCAATTGGCTTATTGAACCTGAAGCCATTTCAGAGCTAGTACGCACATTTCTCTCGTTTTCGGCTAAAAACCCTTACATAATAATATTCCCAGAGTTCATTTCCATGACGCCTGAAGCTGTCTCTCATGCAGCATCCCTTACTAACCTGCAGTAAAAAACGGGGGAAATTAAAGAACCTGTAAAATTATTTGCGTAAGAGTAGGGGATTGTCTCCCGGCTCAACAGAGTATCCCAATTTGGAGGCATAATACAAATCCACTAACTATTCACTCATGATTGTAAGCCTCACGGCTCAGTGCTTATAGCACCTAAAATGCAGCCCGTAAAAGTCCTCCACTGGTCATAAGAATAGTATAGATATTATTATTATAGCTAAGCGAACATACCATTTTTATTAAAGACTCGAATAATCTGTGAATCAGTCATCGCGAGTTCGCCTCGACAGCTGACAGCCAGTGCGCATGGTCGGCATTTCCCGCCAATATTAAGCGGTTGCTTTTGGACTTTTCCGTCTGCTGTTATCACGTGGATTCGACAGTTTCCATAGTCAGCAACATAAAGGTGACCGGAGTGGTTAATAGCAACGCTGACTGGTTGATTGAACTGTGGTGGCGATATTCCCTTCCCTTTACGACCAATGACTGTCGATTCCTGCTCTGTTACCTCACTGTATTCCAGAATCTAGCAAAATAGGAGTCTGTTAAGAGCGGTTTTCGTACAGTATATTTATATAATATACTTATGATATCCCTTAAAAGCCTTAACAGGACGGTTTGCTGTCAAACTGCGCAGGTCAGGAAAATGGCGGGAAAGAAAATGGCAGACGCGCACGCGTTAGGAAAAAATTAAGGCGGGAATAAAAACTCGGCGCGATACAGCTTTAAGATGAATATTTCTGCAACGGTTAAGGTTGGTTATTTCACGAATGGAATTCGGTCACATCTCCTACCTTGTATTCAACATTCTGTTCAGCATTTTGAGTCTCAGCTCTTGAGTATGACTTGAACCGGCTCTGAGCACGTGAAGCTGGTGTTAATGGCTTGTGACGATTAGTTTCTTCCAAGTCAATGGATGTACTATCAAGTTTTTCCTGTAATTCCATCCGCATTCGTTGGTTTTTGTGAATATTATGCTTAATAATACGAATCTGCAAAAGTGTATCGTGTATTGAGTCTTCTAAGCGTATTATTCCTTCCGTACGATGTCGTATTTCAACGTGAATTGAACGAATGTCGTCAAGAGCTTTCTGATGCTTTGAGATCAACTCATCCTCGTCCTTTTTTCCTTTTTCAAGCTCAGTCAACTTTTCTTTCAACTCTGTTTTAATGCTCGCACTGTTTTTGTTCTTCTCTTGCTTTTGCTTTAACTTATCAAGCTCTACTTCTTGCTTCTTGAGGAAAAAACGCACCGTTTCAAGTTTTCGTTCAATCGACTCTATATTGGATTCATTTTCTTTAATTTTGTCTTTGAGGTTTTGTATTTCGTCCTCTTCTTGGACTAGCTTTTCGTTATTCGCTTGGATCTGCATCTCGAATTGCTTGACATCGCTGTCTAACTCAGCTTCGCATTCTTCATTAGCGACTATTTCGTTTTCTAGCCGTTCTATCATGCGGAGAATTGTTTCTCTCTTTGTATTTCGTCTTGCGTTCCCCTCTTGTTCATCATGGTCTCCTGAAATAAAATAAATTGGGATGAATAATTGAATTGAATCGACAGAGGTTTCAAGGGATGTCAGACGTAGCAATTGTTCTTGCTTCAAAACCGGAACAAGGAAATATACCAGCATTGCAGAATATTGGCTGCTTTACATGCCGAAAAAGTCGCTTCTCATACATCACACAATGATTGCGCGCAACGTTGAAGGTTATTTGCAGACGCTAAGACTTATTAGGCACAACATTGATAAAGAAAATATCTATTCTACGTCTGCAGTATTGCGTGCCAATTTGCGCGCAAGCGCATCTTTGCCTTCCATACATTCCACTTTCATAATATAAATGATGTAGATGATCTTAAATGATCTATCAATACTGCCTTTTCTTTTCTCTCAATCTTTAACTGATGTATATCTTCGACTTTCAAGACCATAAGACCATTAGTACAAAATAGACAACGAAGAGAAGATACTTATGTATACTACTGTTAAATAAAGTACATAATGAAGAGTGCATACCATATATCAGTGAAAACATTCGTAAGGGATTACGTAAGATTAGTAAGTTCAGTAAACCTCAGTAAACCGTAGACCTACAAAACTTTGCACTAATTTAAGTACAATTTTGTTAGTTAACTTTTTCACAGATATATGGTATGCACTCTAAGATTTCTATCAAGTCTAAGTTCAGTAGACCTCAGTAGACCGTAGACCTACGAAACTTTGCACTAATTTGTACAATTTTGTAAGTGAACTTTTTCACGGATGTTGCACAAGGACGCATTCCTTCGTTACGTTATCCTGTGCCATTTAATTGCGGATTGTTTTTCAGCTTTCTGACAGAGATATCAAACAAGCCTTGAAACGAAGTGCCCTAAATTACAAAACATTCTAGACCCTGTAGCTAATAGCTTTATCATTTAAATTTACAAACTAGTCCTGTACAGATATTTACAGATGCGTTGAATAATTTAGGCAACCTACATGTTGATATTTTTCAAACATTTACTAACTATAGCAATTGCCTTTGATCGACACTGAAAACGTATTTCTTTTCTTTATACTGACGTTTTTAATTTCATAATGGTTTGTAGATTGTTTGCATAAAATGTAGTATTAATTTGACTTACCAAAACTAACACCAGGAGCATACTTCTCCTTGAAATTGTCCACCAAGTTCACCAGTTTTAGACACTTCGTTTCGACAAGAAGCTTTCTAAGAAAAGCAAGTCGTTTTTCTGATACAAGGCCTCGTGTTTTTAGAACTTGAGTCAACTCAATCCCTGATTCTAGATGCTGCAATGTTTCCTTGTTGATATGACCTTGGAGAAGATATTTCATGTATCGTACGTCTTCCAAATCTAGGTCCTTTCCAATGTCATGAAGAAGACTTTTCAATGTCGTTGGTGTCTCAGTTAAAGCTGACATCATATTGAGTTTCTTTAGAGAGTTACGGAGGGAAAAAATATGGTGTTATTCGGACCATAGTAACATAGTGTTGTCAAACATACAAAAAAATTTGCATTTCTGTCCGCGAGATTACTGTGATGGTTAAACAAAGAGTGAGTCATGGATGGCGTAAAGTCAACAATGTAGAGAATTATCTCTTATTTTCCGATCCATTGAAGTGATGCCGACCTTAATTCGATAAATTGCAGCCCATTTGCAACCAAGCCTTACAATTTTTTTCTACTAAAATATTAGAAATGTGTGAAGAAATTGGGACACTTTCCAACTTTTCTTTCTTCTTTTTTCTATGGAGCCTAGCCCCAGCAAATTTATTGTTACCAATCAATCTTCAAAAATTCAAGAACAAATTATGCATGAAGTTCTTATAAAAGCACCAATTATGTTACATTTGACCAAACGATAAGTGTGAAATTTAACAGCAAAAGCCAATTTTTGAATAAAAGGCTGTGCTTTGAACCGT